AGAATATCTGTCATTCAACTTCCAAAATAACTCTCAAAGTTATTTCTATGCCCTTTCCACCACGACTACTAGCTTTTCTCGCTCCTGACCACCTGAATTTTTGCAGCAGTCTTCTATGCACGAGCTTCTCCTGAGACCGCTCCCACTCCAGCCTGTGCTGCTGGAAAACCCGCCTGGATGATGAGAGCTACTGCTTGAGAGAGACAGTCACACCCCACTGTCTGTAGACAAAAGGCCAGACTCTTGTCCTGGTCAGGTTTAAGAAGATATTTTAAGGGTCTTTGGTACATCTTAGGGAGGGAACTGGATTTTCTTAGAAAACACTTCTGTTAACAGGTATAGATGAGGAAGGTAAGTCCTTCATGGGTATGGACAAAACGAGGGAAGACAAACTGCACAGCACAGGAATGCACAGGAGTTCCAGAGTTGGGGTGGGATGCAAGGTTGTAGGGAGAGCAGAGGAGAGGAAAGGTGTGTGTGTGTGTGTGTATGTGTGCGCGCACGTGCGTGTGTATGAAGGGAAAGGATAGAAATCTGCACAGATGCCATCCCAGTGGTAAAGCGGTCAAAGAAACAAGTGACACTGCTATACATGTGTACTGGAATCGAATAATTTAGTAAATGGATGGCAGATGGTGGGAGCCAGGTTTAGGTAGATGATCCTAAAATGATCCATGTGGCAATGTATTAGAGTTGGAGACCTCAGTAGGAGCTCCTCTTTATAGATACAGAGTGTTACCTGTAGAAACATTTATTGCTATGTGTATATACAAAGGTTAGTGCACATACACACATTTCTTTGCCCTATGAGCTAAGAACACCTAGAAGCAACAACACTCCAGTAGCACTAGCACACCTAGTACCCAAATCTTGGTTTCCAATACTGTTCTCCAATGAAAGAAAACAGGGATTCTTGGAGAAATGGCTGATTCTAGGACTGGGGCAGGAAATATACAAGATGAGTCTGGAGTTTCTTGGGAGTGCCAGGAAGTAAGCAAATGCTAAGACAAAAACAAAAACCTAGACACTCCACAATGATGGGAGTATGTCAAGGGGGCACAGAAGCCAACAAAAAGAGCTCCCTATAACAGACACTGGCAGAATTTGAATGATAAAATTAATAAAGTAGTACTGTATTATAACTCCAAGCATACAATAAATATCCATGAGTCTATACAGATACAAATAAATGATTGAATAAATTAACAAAAGGAGAGAAGAGACAAACTCCTGTGCAGTAGAATTCCAAAGAATTTATGCAGATTCTCTACCCTCAAGGAAGGAAGGCATGATGCCCCACTCCCTGAGTGTGGGCTGCATAGAGTGACTTCCTTCCAAAGAGTATGGAAAGGGGTTAAAAAATAAAAGAGTAACTTTCCAGTGGAGAAACTTGATAAATACTACCTCCGTTGACCTTGACCTGATCAAGGTCCACATCAGCAGTCACAAATCATGTTGATAGTGTGAACCCTTGTGATAAAAATCCCAATACAGATGCACGATATTAATAATAGGGGAAAAAAGGTGTGCAGTATGTGGGAACTCTCTGCACCATCTTCTCAATTTTTCCATAATCTAAAGCTGTTCTAAAAAATAAAGTATATTTTTAAAAAAGACTCAAAAATTGAAATGTTAGATAAGCAATTTCAAGTTATTTATGATACTGTGATATTAAACCCATCTGTCTGCTTAAACCAGTAAGATCTAGTGTGCTCATCCATCCTGGGATGATGGTATGGTGGCAAGTAAAGCAACAGGGCAACAAGGCTTGCATCTATCCTTCTCCTGAGACCCTAGGAAAGGGAGACATATGCTCCAGAAAGGGACTCCAATACAGGCAGGGTGGTCATTACCAACAGGAAAACTTCTGTGGCCATGGCACAGATGGCATGGCGGGGAGGAGCAGCTTCATGGCAGGCACCTCAGGAGGAGGTCTGAGACCAAGCCGTCTTTCTCACCTTCATCAGAGGAGGATCAATTGAGATCTAGTCAGGAAAACTATTGTAAGTATTTCAAACAGAAGAAGTTTAATACAGGGGTTTGATTCCAAAGATGTTGGCAGGGTTAAGAAGCACCAAAGGCAGAAGAGAGATTCTGAAGAAGGAAAAATGAAAGAAGCGATGCCCAGAGATCAGAAGCTGTCAGCTCCAGATCAGCTGAGAAGAGGGGCCTTGATGACAGGGGTCAACTTCTGAAAAGATGTAGCCTCCCTGGGGCTGCTGAGTCCAGAATCACCCTGCCCTCACTGCAGCAAGTGCCAGCAGCCACTAGCCATGGCCACGCTAGAAGAGCTGACACAGAAACATCTCTCCTCTGCCCACTGATCTTCCTCCAGGGCCCTCTCTTGGCAGGGCATAATGGGAAGCCTGGAAGATGCAGTGAGCACACACTAGGCCCAGCAGTGTTCAGAGCAGAGTGCAAAGATGAAGATGGAGGCTGACACTGCTACTGAGTAGCCAGGAAAGAAAGTAACCCTTGATGAGGGTGTGATTGATGCCTTGTTTCTACTAATCCTCATGGCCTTTCTTTGGAACATTACTTATACCTTCACTTCCTCTTCTTTTTTTTTTTTCTTTTCACAATGGAGTCTCACTCTATCAACGACGCTGGAGTGCAGTGGTGCGATCTCAGCTCACTGCAACCTCTGCCTCCTGGATTCAAGTGATTCTCCTACCTCAGTCTCCTGAGTAGCTGGGATTACAGGTGCCCTCCACCATGCCCAGCTAATTTTTGAATTTTCAGTAGAGATGGGGTTTCACCATGTTGGTCAGGCTGGTCTCAAACTCCTGACCTCAGATGATTCACCTGCCTCAGCCTCCCAAAGTGCTGCGATTACTGTGCCTGGCCAATATACCATCGCTTCCTGTTCTCTGCTCCTCCCACCAGAGATCCCCACTATTTCCTATGGAAACCTTTCCCTCCCCAGCATCTTTGCCTTTGCTATTTCCTGAGGGATGCCCCTGCCCAAGATGTATGAGTTCAAATCCTATATTACATCTTTTCAAATTCAGCCCACGTAGGTCCTGCTCTGCAAAGCTTTCTCTCTCTCACTGTTCTCATCTGCAAGCAGAAGTATGCTAGTTAAAAGAAGAAAAAAAAAAAGAATCCCTGGTATGTAGCAACTGCGTATTTCCAGGGTGCAAATAATCCCAGAGGAACAGTTGCTAACTGTCAGCTCTTGTGAGCCTGTCAGTTGGTCCTGGCATGGCAAACCACAGTCTATGACCTGGAAGCATACCTCCCTGTTGTGAAATTCCTTAGCCATTCATGCGACCCCCGACCCAGTGAGCTCTCACCACATTTTGCTATGTGTGATAGTCATTTCTTTGCAAGTCTGCACTCAACTTCAGAAAAGCATCCTCACATAGGGAAATTCATGGCTTAAAATTCCAGCCCTATACTCCCAGCTCTGTGACTGGTAACCCTGTTACTTGCCAAGCCAAGTAGCTGGTAACCCTGCCACTTACCAAGTGTTGGGACACTCATCAAATGTTCAGAGCCTCAGTTTCCTCATCTATTAATGACAGCAGCAATGTAAATCAGCACAGCCATTAAGGAAGACAGTATAGAGGTTCCTGAAAAAATTAAACATGCAACTACCTTATAATCCAGCAATTCCACTTCTGGGTATGTACCCAAAAGAATCTATGGTGGGGTCTTAAAGAGATATTTGTACACCTGTGTTCACAGCAGCATTATTCACAATACCGAAAAGGTGGAAGCAAATTAGTTTTAGCTCTTCCACCATCTATACATTTATTAAAAACATCATACGACACATCATAAATATATACAATTTTTGTTGATTTAAAAATTAATTTTAAAAAGTTGTTTTTTCAAAGAGCAGCAACAATGGCAACCCTGCCCCACAGGGGTGTTACAAGAATTAAACGAGTGTATTAGTAGTTTTCACACTGCTATAAAGCACTGATGGAGCCTAGCTAACTAATAAACGAAAGAGGTTTAATGAACTCACAGTTCCGCATGGCTGCGGAGGCCTTAGGAAACTTACAATCGTGGCAGAAGGTGAAGAGGAAACAAGGACCTTCTTCACTTGGCAGAGGGGAGAGGAGAGAAATGCCGTGAAGGGGAAACTTCCAAACACTTTTAAAACCGGCAGGGTGTGGTGGCTCACGCCTGTAATCCCAGCAGTTTGGGAGGCCGAGGTGGGTGGATCACCTGAGGTCAGGAGTTCAAGACCAGCCTGACCAACATGATGAAACTCCATCTCTACTAAAAATACAAAAATTAGCTGGGCATGGTGGCGGGTGCCTGTAATCCCAGTTACTCGGGAGACTGAGGCAGGAGAATCACTTGAACCCAGGAGGCAGAGGTTGCAGTGAGCTGAGATTGTGATATTGCCCTCCAGCCTGGGCAACAGAGTGAGATTCCGTCTCAAAAAAAAAAAAAAAAGCCATCAGCTCTCATGAGAACTCCCTATCACAAGAACAGCATAGGGAAAATCACCTCCATGATCCAATCACCTCTCACTAGGTCCTTCCCTTGACATGTGGGGATTACAATTTGAGATGAGATTTGGGTGGGGACATACAGCCAAACCATATCAATGAGATAACAATGCAAGTGCATTGCATAACAGTCCCTGGCACATTGTAGAGGTTTAATAAATGTTAATTTTCTCCACTCCTCAGGCTTTGTACACTCTAGAAGAGAAGCCATATTACAATTCATTTTTTAATTACCCTAAGTATCAAAAACACTACCTTGTAACTTGTAATTGTTCAAAACTATGCGATCGCTCAAAAATATTGTTGTTAACCTATCCACTGGAAATATGAGAGGGTTGACAGCGAGGGGAGGGGGCAGGGAGGGATGAGCCCAGAACCCACTGGGGAAGTGGGGATGGGTTGGGAAGAGACAAGGGAGGCAAGCAGCACAGGGAAATGGTGCTACTTACGCCCAAGATCCCCAGAGCTTACGGGGCCTCTCCAGCATCCCCCTCCCTCAGGCCTTCTTACCTCCACCGGGTGCACACTTACTATTGCTTACTCTTTAATTCTGGCTGCAGCTGAGCTGGACACCAGCGTCCTGGAACACCAACCGCCTTCTGGGTGGCAATAATGACAGCAGCAGCTATTTCAACTGCAGCTGCTAATGGTATTTCAATATACTTAATCCCATGGGGCAGAAGTTGGCACTAGCGTCCAGCAGCAGCAAAAAATGCTAACAGGGAATGCTGGGCTTAAGGAATTTAGTACAGAAATGGCAAATACCCCATAATTTCTTACCTTTTTCATCTAATAGGATACCTATCAGCTAAACCTTACCTAAAACCTAAAATGCTTGAAATCTGCCTAGAAGCTTCAGTCTGATTTTGCCCATAGGTCAAGTGCTAATGAACTGTTCTTTTCTTCCATTTCTGCTCCTCATCTTTAATCTAAAAACCACGGAGTCATGGAATGGGAAAGGCCTAGAGCTCCACTTGCTCTAATTACTTCTCTTTTCAAAAACCATAGATCTAAGGCAAACCCAAAAAGTCAGCCACGAGGAAATGCAGACTTACAGACAAAATCGATTTGTTCCAAACCGGTGTGCTCTGGGGGCCTGGCCCCTCTGGAAACCCAGGGCTCAGTCTCCCATGCCAGGTGTTTTGTCACTTGGCAGCCTCCTCGGACAGTCAGAGTCAGGGAGCTGGGCTTCTCGAAAGAAGTCCATTCCATCTATGGACAGCATGCACAGCAGGGGCGATCAGCCTCAGCAAACCGCTCAGCCTCTTTCCTTCTAGTCAGGGATTCTCAATACGTTTAGGGGTGCGGTAGGATGGAGGGAGATTTTATCAGAATCACGGCATTTGCACTATATAGTTTGAAAGATGTAACATAAAGCTGCTGCTTTAGTACCAGCTGCCATATTTCTTTTTCTTGGAGGTTTCTAATAAATCTAAAGGAGGGTGTTCTATTGAGTTGAGCAAAATGGCCTGAGGTTCCAAGAACTAGAGCTGCTGCTGACTCCTGTTGCTCCCTATAGCTGAAGATGAGCTCTTGAAGCCTGCAGATCCCAAATCTGGGATCTCTCTTGATGTAGCGTCACACACATCTGTGTGTGCTTGTCTTTTTTTCCTCCATGGGACCAGCTCTCAGCAGATCCAAAGACAAGATTCTGATTGTGGATCTTCTGATACATCTCCTTGCTTGTAATCATTCAATAAATGCTTTCTAAACACAGGTACCTCCTATGCAATCAGTACAGCACTTATAAAACAGATCAACAAAAAGACTGAATGAAACACACATGACAACGTGTTCATGGTTTATCTCTAAGCAGAGACAGCGCAATTTCATCTTCTCTTCGTCTACCCTAAATTAATATACTTAGCACTGCTTTTTAAAATAATAATAAAAAACTATTTTTAAAAGAAAAGCACCCCAGTTGATATAGCCAAGGAAAAAAAAAGGCGCAGCCAGTTTTTATTTCGGCAAGGTTTAGGGGATTTATCATTTTCGCTGCCGATATTCTAACTAAAAAAACCCGACTAAACAGCCCAGAGAACGAGGCAACTTTCTGAGGCAGGCATTCAACAACTTCAAAAGCTCGGCCAAGTTTAGCAAATAAGTTTCGTTTCACGGCAACACCGGGACGCCCACCGCGTGCCCC